CCCTCCAGTGAGTCAGCTGTCAACTTCCATTTAACTTGAGTAACATGAACGTTCTAATAATGAATGAGTGAGTATGGTTTAACGCCGCTTTTAGCAATATTCAAGCAATACCACGTGGGACACCAGAAATGCGCGTGACACGATTTACCCATGTGAGGAGATAGAACCCGGACCTTCGATCTGACTTTACTAGGTCCCCCCCCCCCCCCCCAAAAGTGGCCGTGGGTGTGTCGGACATGGTATTGCCTCAACACTGCATACACAACACCAGGCTATATGTTTCTTGTCATGAAGATTTTCTCCCCCATCCCACTCCCCCCCCCCCCCACCCAAATCTCCTCCGCCATGCAGAGCATGTGTGGTTGTGACAGATTAACGACATGGTTGTATGCATGACAGCATGCTCCCGCTGCAGAAGCATAAATAATCGTGCCAAATCATATTTAAGATTCTGTAGCTAACAGTTTACACACGAAAATAGGCGTTGGTATGACGAACCAGGGACATTGTATTGTATATGCAGGAGTAGCTGTACAGGTTCTGGATATTAAGATCGCTGCATCCGCCTGGAACCCTGTGGAGACTGCGGGTCAGAATACATCCCGGCAAGGGCAAGGCCAGATCATCAAAGAGACAACGGGCAAGCCAACTATCACCGCTTAAACATACACAGGCACACGGGAGCTTCTCTCAATGGTAAGGGGCGGTCGGGTAACCTAGCGGTTAATGCGTTCGCTCGTCACGCCGAAGACCCGGGTTCGATTCCCGAAATGGTTACAATGTGTGAAGTTCATTTCTGGTGTTCCCCGCCGAGATATTGCTGGAATATTGCTAAAAGCGGCGTAAAACTATACTCACTCACTCACTCACTGTTACGGGTAGGCCCCTTACAAGCTTGCTGTGGGAGTCGAATGAATTGATCTGGTGACCGGATCCGGATACGTGACTTGGTTGAATTTGTGCCCCCTTCCTTGCTCATCATATCGATCACTTCTTTGCCCAGTCAAGGCTCAGTCAGGTACATACATCTGCGTAATTACTAAGTGCGGTGTTCAACAAGAAGCAAAAAACAAAACTTCTATCTTCAAAATTCAAATAGGGCGACATATTCTCGAAAGTATTTGCACATGCATATGTCTTCTTGTATCTTACATATCTCGAGTAATTCAAGTGCAGTTCATAAAAGAAGAAATTAAAGTTTATAAGGTAAGATTCAGGTTGCTTAATGGAAACCCATTCGTTCCTGCTCAATGTGTTAACAAGCACCGCCTCCGTGGCGTAGTGGGTAGGGCTATTGCCCTGAGAGCGGAATGTCGATGGTTCGATCCCCGACCGTGTCACACCGTTATTCGGCAAAAGATGGTACTTGTTGTTAGCCTGCCTGGAGCTCGACATTAAGGAGCAAAAACAAGGATTGGTCAACAAAATGTGTCTGGGTGGGGTATCTGGTGTATTTAAACTGCAGCATGGTATCTCAATAAGCTAGCACTATAAGCCGGCATAAGTCCCGACCAGTTCAAACAGCCACACACACACACGTGCATGCGCGTCGCAGTACAAGTGCAGTTATACCCCCACACAGGTTTTGTCCTGAGACTATTGATACAAGAACTGACGACTGCCTCTCTGTAACACACAATGGAAAACTAGTATCACTCATCTCACAACAATGTTGTGTCATGGCAACCTGACGTACCGCAACAATGGCGTACCCCGGTGGGTTAATACCGTCATTATCACCTCTCCGTCTGGGGAAGGAATGTGCGGCCATCTTTGTAGGTGCTCGTGTGTTGCAGAAATTCTGCATATGTTCAATACGCTTTCGCTTTCTCACTTGGGTGTGTACACGTGAGTGAGTATGGTTTTACACCGCCTTTAGCAATATTCCAGCAATATCACTGCGGGACGCCAGAAATGAGCTTCACTCATTGAAACCCACGTTGGGAATCGAACCCGGGTCTTCGGCGTGACGAGCGAACGCTTACACCACCAGGCTACCCGACCGCCCCGTGAACACATGCAACTGTATGTGACTGTATATGTGACTGTGTACGTGACTATGTACATGTGACTGTAAAATGCTAAATACCTTTGAAAAGATACATGCATGTGTACACAGTGCACATTAGCGGGGACGTACTGTAAAGCATAGTAAATTAACATATGAGGTAGATATAAAATATACAATATGTTTGTGGGTGAGGGGTGGTGGGTGGGGGTTTGCTGCATATGTTAATATATTTAATATGTATAATTATGCAGCCAAATGCCAATTATGAAACAAAGTCAAGATTAAATATTAAACGTAAAATTACAGTTTTAGTCTGATCACGATACAGCCTACATGAAACCTACTGCATCACTATAACCAGCATGTCTGTGCGAGTGCACTGTTGTGTAAACCTCAGTGCCACACGTTTGACCCTCATCTCTCTCCCTAGGGAGGTTGAGGCACACAGAAACGCTACTGAAATAATAATAATAATAATAAGGTTCTATGTACCTCTAAAACCTCAAAATACACATCTTGACGCATCATACTACAACCAAATAGTGAATTAATCTGCATCATAATTGAATCCCATACATATTGATTTGTAAAGATTTAAAGACCGGTCACTGTAATAGCAGGCGATACATGTAAAACATAAGCCTTTTACCCTCGGGGAGGGTGGGGATGGATAACGATGGAGAAGAGCGGCGGGGGGGGGGGGGGGGGGGGGGGATCTAGGGTGATAGTATTGGTGTACGTGATGTCCCCAGTGGCTGCACATGAAGTGGACGGGCGGGGGCTGTATTGTTCTATACGGGGGCCCCGGGGGACAATACCACCCTAATTAAAGCCGAAGGGACATCAGGAACACTACAATGCCGTATCAGCCTGTATCTACAACGGATACTATCTAACGCCATGTTGAGTGTCTACTGTAGGCGGTATTACATAAAGCGCGCCTCGTGTGACCGGAGATGTCCCCGATTCCCATCGCTGATACGCTTAGACGGAGGAAACAATAAAATTATTAAACCGACTTCCACTGAGCTGAAACGTTACCGGCCACGTTGAACTCGTACTTATTAACGCGTTAGTGTTGGTACGTGGCCATGTGTAAAATGTGTAATGTGTAAAATGTGATTCACTTAAGCCTAAGTATTTTTTATACAAAAAGCCCAATCATTTTACAAAGTGACTGAAAAATATATCGACTTATTTGACAAATTGACTAAAAAGTATTAAGAAGCGCAAAAGATCTTAAAACATCACTTTGGTACGATTAGAAGCCAAACAGTACACAATGACATTCGTTTTCTTTTAATCCTATGATCTTAAGTCAGTGAGTGATGAAATTCAACATCTAAAGGATTTGAATTCAGTATCATAGTAAATTAAATGAACATAAGTTTCAGTCAATTTGTAAAAAGATATTAAGAAATATCAAGGCGTTTTGAAAATTGTCTGAGTGAAAATTACAATCAGTTTATACATTGACTGTAACATGTATATAACCTACACAAATCAACTCCCAAATCGTCAAGAAAGATGGCTGGCTGTGAATTATGGATTTAACAATGACATCAGCTGGACTGAACTCTCTCTCTCACATGCTCGCTTCACGTTGACGGTCTCAGACCACACGCTATGTTCGTGGTTCTGTATTATAAAAGAAACTATTTGTTATTTGTTGTGTTAATTATCCCGGGTATTGAGGAAAAATTGTTATATTTCCCGAAGTGATTAACGCGGACGTTCTATGAATGATGTAACTCTGATACTCTTCTCTACTTCTTTCGTCTGTAAATGTCTCCTGCTACGATAACAGAACACAGTTACATTTACCGTTGCACCATCGTCCAAAATAACTCCGAAGTCTGCCTCTGTCCGACCCCACGCCCGCCTCCAACCCTGTCCCACGTTCTCCCTACAGGTTTAACCCAGGCCACAAACACACACCCTACAGTTTGTATGCTTCCACATGCACCCCCCACGCCCCCTATCAAATTCCCTCGAACTTCATTGTTCCGTAATACCCCCCCCCCCCCCCCCCCCGACCCCCATCCCCATCCCCACCGACAGGAAGTGTTGATGTTGGCATTCATGGACTGAAGGTCTGTCTTGGCCATCGAACAGAAAGATTTTGTAATTAAGCCAACATTAGCTAGCTCCTCCAGGTTTTTCAATGTTTGACAAGAAGCCGTGAGCTCGGAGATCCGCGGGATAGAGTGAGATTATAAACACACAACGCCTGACGTGAAGCCACCACTAGCTGCGTCAAGGACATACATGCTTGACTTAGATTCTGAAAACTACACCCGTAAAATCTCAAATTGACTTATATTTCCTGGCTAACAATTGGCGATTTGTTGCAGGTAACGCGACTCCGCTATCTCGGTGGGGAATCGCCACCTGGTGGTGGAACGCTAGATTGAACAGGTACACTTGGTCTTAGCGTAGAACACCGAGAACAGGTTCATTTACTAATATTTACAAATATGCCAGCCTCGTTCACCCTCACCCTTCCCCCGCCACAAACACAAACACCACCCGCATCTAATCCCCAACGCCTTGATAAATCAATTATACCTGTTTGTACTCTACCCCCGGGGTCTCCCCACCCCCTACCGCCGCACCCCCGGAGCTGGATGTGTGGAGGTGTGATCGCTCACCTGTCCCATGCAATATGAAAATATCCCAATAACAGTGATGCCAGTTTGAAACTCGCGGCTAGTGTTTGTCAATGGGCTATTGTCACTCCCCGTTCTTGAATGATTCTTGCGAAGCTGAGAACAGTTTTCTACCTGCCCCGGCGAGTTCATTATTGAAAGGGGTGATGGGTTTACCGGACACCGCGTCAAGGTGTATTGACAGGCTCAATATAAAACATTTGCCGTGCGACGCAGTGAATCGATTGACTGTGTGTCTACTTTCCGTGAACGCTCTTGAGACTGGGAGCTTGTCACACAACAAGCTTCAATACATAGCGCGACGCCCCCCAGGTGAGTCGTCCTACAAGTTAGGTGTGTCAGTGAGGTTCAGAGACGTACAAGACAATCCACCACACGCCGGTCACTGTCACACAGCACATGGTCAATACGCTCTCGCACCTGTCCGGCCTCTCTCACCTGTAATCAAGGACATAACGCTACACTCCGCACACTGACAGGTATTACAAGATCCACGTGTGTCGTCTCACAGAAGGATATATATTCGGGATTACAAGAGAATGCCCAGTGGTCTTTGACGTGCTAGTGTCGTGTGTGAATCTCGGACCCCCATCATGTGGTCACTACCGGTCATCTGTCGGAAAGGCACCTGTCTGAGAACTTGGTTTTCCGTGGGACTGTTGTTTGTCGTGTGTATTGCTGGGACAGCTAGTCAAGGTAAGATACGCTTGTTCTGTGTGAAAAAAGTGGAGCGAATAACAAAATATCGACTAAAATAAACCCACCCACCCCATCGGAATCGGTTAACCCCCAGGGTGGGTATCGACTCTGTGTGTTGGGGGTGGGAGGGGGAGGTAGGGAGGGGTGCCAGCATGAAGTCGTATTGTATTTCAGTATTTGTACATTGTATTCGCTGTTTACATGAGATCAGTCGTCACTGGTGAATATGAATTCGGTATTACACTCACGTGTAGACGACATTGTATATCACATAGCTGTGTAATATATGGCCAACACGAAACTCCTAATCAGAGCCTAATGCACGGTGTGGTACTGATACATACGTCATGACACCGACATCAACATCATCACACCCGACATCAACGTCACCACCAACCCGGACACACGTATAATATATACCCGGCAGTAGTAAGGGTCATATTACAGTGAAATCAATGCAATGCATTACCATGTGGGGTGTGTGTATTTCCGTGTGTTCTAAATATACCCCAAAACTCTGACATTGTGTATTGTTGTTATTAAGTATCGCACAATATCGTTTAGCAGAGTGTCACTGCATGTCTAGGAAATCTGATCCGAAGATGTAAGCTCGCACAAAAAGTGTCTGCTAAAGAATCATTCATCTGTGTGCAGCCACGCAGCCCACAATAGGGTTGTCGGGTCGGCTTCTTGGTCATTGTGTTGTCTCCCGGAGTTCGGGTAGTATCGTCTAGTATCGTCTAGTATCGTCTAGTCAAGTACAGCATCGGTATATGTGTCGTACTGCCACTGCCACGCAGCATGTACCATGTAAGTCTGTGTGGGGGGTTGCTGCGGGCGGGGGACGAGGGGAGAGAGATGTTTGTAAATAAATCTTCTTTTATCCTTATATGGGGCTGCATTACTCTTGTAATCACAATACGACATCATACGTCTAGTACCACTCTGCATTCCTAGATATGCTAAGGGATCGACCATTTGATGTGGTGGAGGGGGAAGTTGTAGGGTTATATCGAAACACAACTTGTCCTGGGATGTGCTTGAAAAAAATAATTACGCTTCAGACTGAACAACCAAAAACAAATAGTTACAAAAAGCATACCGCAAAAACATTATTTAAACTCATAGTTTTAGCTGAGCCAATATCAGGTTTTGCCGCTGAAGCTGAACAAATATCTCCAAAAAAATCATCCCCCTTCCCCTAAAGAAACCTCGTAAGCAATTCTCCGTCCCCTTGTGAACGTGTTCGGGAGCGCCCTCTGTTGGCTGACCCCGGACCTTGGGGCGTGGCTCTGGGTAACCGTGTATGTGTGAGGGGTACTACACGGTCACGGCGTCCGTAGGGCTAGGTCGTACATTCATAGCGAGTATCAGCTCCTCCGTCAAGCATCTTACATTGCAAAAACTGACATCTCGATGGCTCCTTCATATTCATTATTGATCATAAATAGATCGTTTAGCTATCCCAGCGCGACATGATATAAAGTTACATTTTTATATGATATCTTTAACATTACATCTTATGCTCTACAAAACATTATACAGTAAATTACGTTTATAACCAACACGTTTATAACGAACTGACAGATATTATCTTTGGCCCCGGCCATTTGCTGTATAAGAACTGTGTATATGCCTATAACGAACTACGATTATAACGAACTAACATTGGTGGTCCCTTTGAGTTCGTTATAACCGTAGTTTACGGTATTGGAAACGATCCTCACATCTCATAGAAATAATACGGCCAAAAGCAGTAGTTATTAATACTTATTACTTTATCGATCCAAGTCACATTGGTGACACACCCTGACTGCAGCCGCTCACACACGGCCGCAGTGGTGGGACGATGTTGCCGATGTATGCGAGATGCCGGGAGACACTGGAGACGGAGCACACACCTAGATGTTGGGCTGACAGATATGGGAATTAATAGCCCCTGCATTCCGCTCTCTACACACGAAGCATCATCACTGCCTTGAAGGAGACCTCGGCGGCAGCGCACCTTGTCGTGAAATATTTGGGCGGCATCTTGCGCGTGGTCAGAACATGGTGATGGGTTGTGGCGGATATGTATGACTGTAACATGACTGCAACATGACTGAAGGTTCCAAGTAGCGAGACGGCGATGATGCAAGCGAGACAGTTTACTCACAGACGTCTGAGATATAGATAGGTTCATATGACAATGGCAGCTGACGTGATGGCTACACTGGCACTAATACCCCTCGGGATGCCACAGCGGCATGGTTCCATATATGTCGACGTCGCCGCTAGACCACGGAGGCGGTCTTTTGGTGGAAGGAGTGTTGGTCTCAGGGATCAAAGCATCACGAGCGTACTGAGACGTCCACCTGCTCCACATGCAACTCTGTTCCCAGGTGAACGCCGGTGTTTACCTGGTGATGTAAGCGTGTTCTTCACAGGGGCGGTCATTATCTCAAGCAGCCCTTTGTGAGTTGACTTGAGCTTGTGGAGAGCCCTCGCAGTGTTGACCCACTCCCTGTGTTGGTGTATCTGGCAATTGACATAATTATGTGGCGAATGTTTCGGTAGTTAGAGAAATGGCGGAGGTACTTGAGGCGGCTTCTGGGGGTGAGGCCACACGCCACCTGTAGTCCCTCTCCCTGCAAGGACAGGCGTACACGCCATTGACATTTCCACGGCTATTGTCAAGACGCCATAGCCAACATTCCAACTGCTGATTTAGTAACTGAAAACTAATAACAAACCATTCGTCTAACCACGTTCATAAGAAAAGACAAGACAATAGTCACAACTCTCATAGTGATTTTGGTCGGTATTATGCTCGTGGATTTCACCAAAGAGGTAAACCTGCGTTGCGTCGGGCATTTCAAATAGACACTCCATAATTTAACTGTAATACTGTAAGCGACGTCACTCCCTTACTGATAGGGTTGTAAAACCCCGGACGCTACAGCTTGTGTAATTAACCCCAACAAAAGCTAGAAATATTTGTGACAGTTTTAGTTCATTTTCGTTCAGAATATTAACACAAATTGTGTTTTAAATGTCTCAAAACACCTGTTTGATAATCGACCCAAGACAGTTCGTCTGTTTGACCCTTTGATTTAAGCGATTCTAAAACGACATGGCGCTGCGAGCCAGATAGTATCACGGCTTATTCAGAGTATTATGCCATACTGTGGCTATGAATAAAAATCTAAACCTCTGACACCCCCCCCCCCCCCTCTACAACACACACACCATACCCACAGGTCATCCCTGGCTTCACCCCAACCAGCGCACCTACCTACCAGGCCCACACAACAACAGTGTTGGCAGGTACATAGCTGTTCCATTCACGCCAAAGTCAAGTTCAAGAATATTAACACCGCAGGTTCTATACTGAATTCTGTCCCGCTCAAATGCATTGTGACACCTAAATGTAAGTTTCACTCCGTTTTGTAACACCTGAACGTAAGGTTAACATTCGTATGTACCTTCAAGTAAAGCGTTCTCGGTTCAGCAGTCGCTAAATACAGGCACCATCGCCGCCACGCGACTACACAACAGAACATACTACCTGCCCCACTTCGCAACTATGCTTGTCGTAAAAGGCGCCTAACGGGATCGGGTGGTCAGGCTCGCTGACTTGGTTGATGCATGTCATCGTATCCCAATTGCGTGGATCGATGCGCATGATGTGAATCACCGGATTGTCTGGTTCAGACTCGATTATTTACAGACCGCCGTCATATAGCGGGAATATTGCTTAGTGCGGCGTTAAACAACAAACGAACTAACGAACGAGCCTGCCCCACCTGCGGCTATGGTCGCCAGTAATGGAGGCAGAGTGCCACGTGCTCGGTCACGGAATCGCAATTAAAACAGCAGGATATCTGTTTCAAATCGAAGATCGATATTTGATTTGATTAAAAGTATCATGGTGTGAAAATATTCTTTGTCAAACGGCTTATCAATACCATAGTCTGAGGTATCACCGGTAGCATTCTGTACAGTCAGCGTTTGAAATTGGCACTGGTCCTGTAGCCCTTTCCTAACTGCCCAATAATTAAGTTATCCTGAGCACTGGTAGAAATTTGGCCTTTGTAAGGATTTTGCTGTATGTTATCATTATAAGGACTTGTGGGCGAAAACTGTTAGTTTCTATCGCTGACAGTGTGAGGTACTTTTGTAAGATGTATTCTGTGGTGTTTTAAGGTCCACTGCCTCAGGGCATGGCATTCTGTATGAGAACGTCCGATGCTTGTTGCTAAGAGGTGAGATCGAGGCTACAACCTGGTCCACGTCTTCAGTGAGATCGTGGCTAAGACCCTGTCGACGTCTTCAGTGAGATCGTGGCTAAGACCCTGTCGACGTCTTCAGTGAGTTCGAGGCTAAGACCCCGTCGACGTCTTCAGTGAGATCGAGGCTAAGACCCCGTCGACGTCTTCAGTGAGATCGAGGCTACGACCCCGTCGACGTCTTCAGTAACATCAGGCTATAACATGGTCTATGCCTTCAGTAACATCGATGCAATGCAATATAGATATAGTGTGTGTGTAACTGGCCTTAGAGGTATGCCTCTTACGTCATCAGCAGTTTCAGTGCGGCGGATGCTCGCTCTATGGACACGTCGACAAGCGCATGCTGTACCAAGCTACAAACATCATTCGTCAAAACATCAAGTTAGACTTTAATTTTGACGGTGTCCTTTTGGTGGATATTGCAGGAAAACCTATTGTTCTGATTGATGATGCAAATTTATAAATAAGTAAACAATATTTATTAAGTACTCATGACCTCTGGTCTCAGCTTATTGCGTGCTTCCCACCTGCTGGTGTTAGGTGTTGGGTGTCTGTGCATGAATTAATAAAACTGAGATGTCGGTGAATATCCACAGTGACGTCTTAACCGACCATAACCTTCCCTGAAACACACCAACCCAACCATCTGCACCCCTGCTCTCTCCGGCAGACATCACTGAACACACCAACCCAATTCCCCTACTCCACACCTCACATTACATCGTA